AATCCACAATTCCAATGTATTGTTAAAATTATGGAAAATAAATTTAAAATATATTGGAAGAATTTTTCCCCTTTATTGTTTAACTACAATATTAAACCCTAGGATTAGGAAAGATGGTTTAGATATTTTACTTGAAACATATTATGAAAATATGAATATTGATATAGGAAATAAAGAAGAAGAAATTAATAATTTATTATTTGAAATGTACAGTTTGTATGAATATGAAGTTGTAGGAAATATTCCTAGAACTTGTTCATCTTCTTCTTCTTCTCTTTCTGACTTTGAGCCCAATAATAGAAGAGAAAAGTTTGTTTATTTAACAAGTAGAAGGCAGAAATCTGCTAGTTCTACAACAAGTTCATTTATTGAACTTAATTTTTATTTGCAAGCAATTTTTTCTAATTTAGGTGAAGTATCAAATAATTTTGATATTTCAGCCCGGTGGAGTGAACACGAAAAATTATCCGGTTCTCGCCGCCATGACACATGATCTACTAACCCCTCCGGTGTCTACAGTTCCGTTGGAGTCTTGTTTTAGTGTAGGTACCAGGGTGCTGGATGACAAAAGAAGCTGCATGAACAATAAGAGCATAGATATGTGCATCTGTTTCAAGGATTGGCTAGATGCAGAAGATAGATTACAAGACAAGGGAGGGCATGATACAACACTGGACATTTCACCCGAAGCAGATGATGAAATCATGAATGATGATTCATGAATTTGACCACTTGTAGATTTTTTCATTTTTTCAAATTATTGTAAAATTTTTAAATTTTATTTAATTTATTTGATATATATTTTTTTAAATTTTTTAACAATGTAATTTTGTATTTTCAATTTGTAACCATATTGTATTTTTATATTTCATTAATTTACTCCATTTTTATAATTCATTCATCCAAGTATGTAATGATCCAATCATTGTATTTGTAATTCACTAATTTGTACCATTCAAATTTAAATGAAATAAAATTCTTATTTTTCTTTCAATTTGTTATTCCATTCAATTTGGTTAAGTATTTTTTCATTTATGTATTAAATAACTTAGATTTCTCATTTCTTAATTTTTTAAATAGTTCCTAATTCTCAAAGTTCATATGAAAGTTAAATATTTTAATTTTAAAATTTTACTTAGAAAAGAAATAAAAAAATTCAAAAAAAAAAACAGTACAACCTGGTTTAGCCTAGGCCCAAGGCTCGCCCTGTGACCCAGCCTGGTATGGTCCAAGCCCATGGCACGGCTTGTAACTTGGCCCGACTCAGGCCCGCGTGCCGACATCGCACAACATGGGCCCACTTGGGTTTGGGCAATAGGCCATGCCGGGCCCCTCCAAAATTTCCACCGGAGAGGATGGCACGGCCTGTTACACGGCCAACTTTACACCTCTACCCATGAGCTCTTTGCACTTATTCTTGCAGACCACATTAACCCATCTTAGGAGGTTGTGGAGTCATATCTAACATGGGAAACACTCTCCTGTATGTTTGGAGGCGAACCTTCCAACGATTGACGATTAGACAAAAAAGCTAAGACGAATCTCCTAGCAAAGCTTCCACCGACAGCAAAACCTAACCCAATCGTAGTAAAAAGCTTGTTCATAACCTGGTCAAAGAAATTAGAAGTGGACTTTGCTCCATTATCATCCCTGCTTCGAAACAATAACCCCACAAAATTCCCATGGTCAAAGCTTGAATGACCCTAACAAGCGACTCCGAAAACTCTTCAAACCTTGCAACTTTGGAAATTTGCCACAAACTGGTGGGTTGATCCGAATCGGATTGAAAAAACTCTTTCCAGTCCCTAGACATGATTTCCATGGTATATGCGAAGTTAGAAATCAGTTCGACAACAAAAATTCAAACTCCCATGAAAGATGATAATATGTTTGACAGAATATTTTAATAAAAATAGATGTAAATTAATTTGCAAAATGATAATAGGCAGTTGGAAAAAATTGATTTATCAATTTAATATTTTATGTCTTGATCATTCATAAAAGGGAGGTTTTGTCAAATTTTTCAAAAATCTAGTGGATATTTTTATTAAAACGAAATTATAGGAAAAAGTTTTTATCATTGTCAGGAAAGTTTTGTATTTTACTCTATTTTAATTAATCCACGTGCATCCTACATGTTCTGCTTTTATTTTCTGCCATAAAGTCCACACCTTCCAGTGTGAAAGGCGACGAATATTGCTTTAGTGGATTATATTATCCTCATTAGGACCTATAACACGCATGATTTCTCACCAACCGATTGGGATTTAGGTTTACCTTCACATGGATATTATGATACAAACAACAAAATAAAAAAGATCCAATCTAATGGATTTCCATTTATTGATTCCTTCTATCCTCACAAAATAAATCCATCGATTCCTTCCTCTATGATTAAAAAAAAGGGGGGTTTTACTGTTTAGTCCAACTTAAAAATTCAAAGGGGTTTTTACTGTTTAGTATCAGCTGGAAATTGATGTTAATTCATGTGTGGTATAGATGTTATAACTTATAAGTAGAGGTATTAATAATTTGGAATTGTCGTATGCCTGCCGTTAATTCTAAAGTGGGGTGCAGTCTAAAATCCCCCGGCCCCGAAAAAAAATCCTTGTTAAATTAGAAAACAAATAAGGGTAATATCGTAAATAATCAATTAGGAGACGTACGTTTACCAGTCAATCATTCGTCAGTCGTCAAGCAATTTGCAAATTGCAACTTATTTCTTCCCGGGCTTCGAAGCCCGGCTCTCATACCAGAGTACCGGATTTGTGTAGCAGGCCCCTTTGTCGCTCTGTCTGTTTTCCTTTGGTCCAGGTTCCTGAAACCCTTATTTTTTCCGGAGAGAGGTTAGTATTTTCGATGCCCAAGTTGTGTTTTCTCGTTCAAGAAATGACGTTCAGAACGATCTTGGTTCGAATCTTTTGCTGCTTCAGTGGGTGTTTTTTTCTTTATTGTTTATCATACAGTGTTGTAGAGCTGAACTATCTTAAACATTTGAAATTTAATTTGGATGAGTTTTGAGTTTTCTGGTTGGAGTTAAGTTCGATTAAGTAGTGTCCGGAGGTTCTTGTGCTTCTGTATCTCAGATAGTATAATTTTACTTTTGAGTTTAGAGTATGCGAGAGGCTTAATGTTTTTGCCTTATGTTTATCGCAATACGATTTGTAGTTGGCTTTGGAAAATCATCTATGGATGCGTATCCGCGTATTTCCTATCTTTGTTGGTTGCTGCTCGGTGACTACTGAGCATCTGAGATACGAAGATGATCTAATTTCTTTTCATTTTGTTTTTCTTTCAATGTTTCCAGGTTTAGTTTGGTAGAGGTAATGGTGTATTTGATTATGTTTCTCTATCAAGATATTCAATGTGAAAGATATTTAGGGTTTTAAGCTGTAGCAATTTAATTAGTCACATTTATCTCTGATTCTTATTGAGGGTGGGCCTTGCCGCAACGGTTGGGTTGTTCCATTGCGACCTGTCGTCATTTGTATGTGTAGAGGTAAGGCTGTAAACATCTGTCCCTCACCAGACCCAGCATTGGCGGGAGCCTTGTACACTGGGCTGCCCTTTATCTCTGATTCTAATTCTCTTTCTTTTTACCCCTTGTTTTTAAATTGAAATCTTTTGTCTAGTCTTTTCCCATCCATCAATTGATCCCTTCAAAGAGGAGCTCAAATGAGTGATAATGTGATTACACATTAGTGACCTTTTATGTCTTAAACCCTTGTTTTGTTTATTTAATATTGACATAAGTTCTAGTGTCTTATTGTAAAGTTTTCTTATTTGCTAATTGTGAATCATTATGGAGACTTTTTTTTTTTCATGTTTGTTTGGTTTGTTGATATTCATTTTTTATCATGTCATTTGTGAAGATGAGAAATTGAGCAACTATATATCTTTTGGTTGTAAATAATAGAACTTGAGCAACTATCATGTCATTGTTTGTTGATATTCATTATACACAAAATTCTTTTATGCTAACCTAGACTATCTAGTTGCGATGGACTTCACAATACATTGGACACAAGTAACATACATGGGAGAAGATTACTTTGTTGCTACCATGTATTTCTTTTTATTAGGGGAATATTTTCAAAATGTTTCATGGACGTTTAAATTTTTCTTGGTCATGCTTGAAGATCCACTTTGGTAATTGTATCATTTGTCTTGGATTTGGCTGCCAATGTTAACTCCTCATTTGCCCAATTTTGTGGAGGGGCTACATCTGTCCGTAACCAAGCTAAGATCTACGTGAGAGTAGTGCGACTGCTAGTTCTATGGCCTTAGACACTCTTTGTTAGGGATGTGAACTCTTGAGCATTGGGGATTTTGGGGATGAGTGTTTTAGGCTCAGTTTCAAGGGTCATTTTTTGGAGTGTTGAGGCGATGGTTGTCACTCATTTCCCCTTGGACTTACAACTCATCTCTACATTCTTTGCAGTCTTGGGCAGGAGGATCGGTTGGTGCTAAGGGCACATTAGTTATAGGGGAACCTAAGGTATTGAGCGGTTGAGCCTTTGGTGTTGGGGCTCAAAGTGCGGTGACGAGGTCCTTGACCTGTTAGTGGAGAGAGATGAACCTAAAGGTACTAAGCCATGTGGTATTGGGGACCAAAGCACGAAAATGAGGCCCTTGACCTGTTGATGGAGAGTTGAACTGCTCCTGAGTGACTAACTGATTTTGGGGTTTGCAAGATGGTGAAGTATGGCTCGAGTGGGAGCCCATGGAGAGTGTTTTCCTGAGCTGTTAGAGTGGTTGGTGTTCTTTGAAGGCATTGCCATTGGGACTGGTAAGGTAGAGTTAAAAGACTTTTTGTTCAATTTCCCATAGATGGTGCTAATTTGATGTTATTCGAACTGAGGTGGACAAGCAATAGATGAACTTGTACGGTTTTGGAGGAGTTGAGTTTGATTTGGCATCTTGCCCACACAATGAAGGGATGAGAGATCCATCACATGGATGGCTGAACCCTGCAAGAAGGTTGGGCGAAATTTCAAAAATTTCTTTACCCCCATTCGGGAATCCTATTCCCAATTTAGAAAATTTCAAGGTTGTTCTTGTAACCAAACCGGACCAAATCTGAAACCAAGATTAGGGAGGGATATACCTGATACGGAATCCACGCAAAAAGCTCCTCCCAACGTAGGTGTTCACGCCCAAAGAGTGTACCAAATTATCTCTCCACTGAAGATGACACAACTTAGGATGAGGTAGGATCAGCAGGTAGTTCTTCACCAAGAACCTCTGATTCTTTAGCAAGAATCGAATGGGGTAGTGAGCACAACTTTAGAATTGTTTCTTCTAGCAAGAAACAATATCAAGATCCAATCTTGATCAGTTCCAAGAAATAGAGATCGAATAGGGTAAGGCGGCAAGAGCAGGGAGAAAAAGAACTGAAGGCAGAAACAGTCAAACTGAGTTGTCTTCTCTGTGTTGTGTGTCTTTTTCAGGTCCACCCTGCTATCTATTTATAGCCTTAAAGAGACAATCTCCTAATCTGATTAGGAGTCTCCTGATCCAAATCGTCCAAAAATCCGGTGACCAAGTAGTTCACAATATCAGCATACCATGGAACTATACCTTTCATGTGAAACAACTGCTCATCAGGAAACAACTCAGAGATGGGTGAGGAGTCCTCATCTTTTACCAACCTACTTAGATGATCCGCCACCAATTTTTCAGCTCCCTTTCGATCCTTAATATCTAAATCAAACTCTTGGAGCAAGAGTATCCACCTTATCAGCCTCGGTTTTGACTCCTTCGCTAGTAGGTATTTCAAAGCTGCATGGTTAGAAAATACAATTACTTTAGAGCCAAGCAAATATGATTGAAATTGTCTAAAGCAAACACAATAGCTAGTAGCTCCTTTTCAGTAGTTGTGTAGTTGCTCTGTGCAACATTCAATGTTTTGGAAGCATAGTAGATGATGTGGCTCTTCCCATCAATTCGTTGACCTAGAACAACCCCTACCGCATAGTTGCTTGCATCGCTCATGATCTCAAAGGGCAAGTTCCAATCAGGTGGTTGAATAATGGGTGCAATTGTTAACAACCTCTTGAGTTTGTCAAATGCTTCCTTGCACTCATCACCAAAATCAAAAGGCACATCCTTTTGTAGCAAATTGGACAATGACAGGGCAATTTTTGAAAAATCTCTGATGAACCTGCGATAAAAACCTGCATGTCCAAGAAAGGAACGAACCACCCTAACATTTGTAGGGTAGGGTAAGCCCACAATTAAATCAATATTGGCCTTGTCGACCTCTATTCCTCTAGCTGAAATAACATGTCCCAACACAATGCCTTCCTTTACCATAAAGTGGCATTTTTCATAGTTTAAGACAAGATTTGTTTCCACACACCGATTCAGAATTTTACTTAAACTATTTAGGCAGTCATCATGCATCTTTGAAAAGTGCCTGGAGCGTTACACAAACCAAAGGGCATTCGTCTATAATCAAAGGTGCCGAATGGGAAAGTGAAGGTTGTTTTCTCTTGGTCCTCCTGGGCAAAAACAATCTGATAATATCATAAGAATCCACACTCACGGCCTGAGCAATGTCTGACTGAGTGCACAACATGGCATACATGATGCTTCCTACGGAAGAGGCATAGGGAACTTCCTTCATGCATTCAATCTCCTCAGGTGTCTTGGGAGACATACCCTTGGAGAGAGTGACTCCATGCTTGAAAGGAACATTTTCTTTCTTGGAGTTATCCATACACTCTTGATTATCTTGTCAATGTAAGTAGACTAGGATAATCCTATTATCCTTTTCGATCTATCTCTATAGAGTCGAAGTTCCACGATATAAGAGGCTTCTCCAAGATCTTTCATGGAGAATTGCTGTGAAAGACATACTTTCACCGTAGTCAACATTCCTACATCATTCCTAATGAGTAGAATATTGTTTACATACAGAACCAAGAATGTAACCTTATCCCCACTGGTCTTCTTGTAAACATAGGGCTTCTCCAAATTCCGCTCAAAGTCAAACTGTTTGACAGTAGAGTCAAACCGGATGCTTCATCTCCTAGAAGCTTTGATTAAGTCCATATATGGATCAATTAAGTTTACATACCATGTGTTCCTGACATGCAGCTATGAAACCTTGTGGTTGTTGCATATAGATATCTTCAATAAATCTCTATTCAGGAACGTGGTTTTGACATCCATTTGACAAATCTCGTAGTCATGGTATGTTGCTATAGCTAGCAGAGTCCTAATGGATTTAAGAATGGCCATGGGCGAAAAAGTTTCCTCATAGTTGATTCCCTCTTTCTGAGTGTACCCTTTCGCCACAAGATGAGCCTTGTAAGTTTCAACCTTACCATCAGGGCCCTTCTTCCTCTTATACATTCATTTGCAACCAATTGCTTTTACCCCAGGGGGTGGATTTACTAGAGTCCAGACTTCATTGGTCTCCATTGAGTTCATCTTAGCTCTCATGGCATCTACCCACTTCAAGGAATCTATGTCCAACATATCTTCTGTATAAGTCACGAGATCCTCCTCATTGGTTATGGCTTCTACCAAGTAACTTTCTTGGTCATAGCCGTAACGAACTAGAGGCCTATATGCCCGAGTAAATCTCCTAGGTTGGTTATTAACTAGAGCTTATGGGACATCTCCCTCAACCCCTGAGCTCTCCTCATCAAGAACAACTTCTTGATGATGATTGTTCAGGATGTAATCTTCCTCTGATAAATGGGCATTTCGACTATATAACACTTTCTGCTCTCCTGGGTCATAGAATAAATACGCTGCAGAGCCTTTTGGGTAACCTACAAGTAGGCAATGATTGGTCTTAGATTCCAATTTGTCAGCACTTGTTCTTTTAACATGT